GGGGGAGGAGGAAAGAAAGGCGCGAAACGGAAACAAACAGACAGACTGACAGAAGATCGAATGTTGTAAAAACACAATTGACCTGCTTGTTTTCGTACAAATGTGTATTGTTTTGTTTCTTTGCTGAATCTTAAAAGAAGTGTGATCGAAGCAACAGCGATCAATCAATGTATGTATGCTATATAATCCTTTTAGTTCTAGTTAACGTGAGTCTGATTTATTTTTCTTTCTTTACTTTCTCTCTTGTCGGTTCTTCGCTGTTGAGTAGCTATAATTTGTAACTAAGCGCCGTTTATAGCTTTATAATAAACTGCCTGTCTGTTGTTTCAGAATTCGTTTTGGCACGAGGGGGGGAGGGGGGGGGGGGACCAATACCATTACCACAGGGACCAAAGATGAAAATCAATTGTAAAATGTGTTCTTTGGTCAAAGACAATTTAGATCATTTTGGAAGCGGCTGCTTCAACTCTGTCTGACTGGCTCAATTCCAGATGAGTGGGATACAGAGGTGCAACATCATCGCAAACAGACGAAGACACAAGATTTTTTTTGGGAACTGTCATGTCCCACACGGAATTAGTACTCACGTCTTCTACATGCAACGCCGAAGAGCCTAGAACCTAACACACAGCTGCACCACGGGCACCAGAGAGTACTGGTAAGGCGGGATATACCGGCCACTCCCGAAATGTGAGTGTTTGAGTTTGAGTAAAGAGAAGCATGTCGAAAAGATTCTCAAAATAATAATTTCAGGCTTAGATCTTGGTGACAAGCCATTGAAAACTCAGTAAGATAACTCAAAGAATGTTTCCAAGAACATCCACGTGTCCACATGGCCTAAAGTTTGGTTCGAGATTTTACTAACATCTCACCATCTTACAGGACGGTTAGGTTAAATGTGACGCCAGATAGATTGGACCTCCACCTCTGATGGGACCAATACAGGTTGGCAGAGAACCATTCAAGCTTTTACAAACAACCATTGAGAATACGCACCAAGAGTGTCGTATAGTGCAGGGAAGAAGCAAGACAGATAGACTGACACAACAGAGGGACAGTAAAGAAGTAGGACCTACCAATGGCGCCCTCCAAACACCTAACGACGGCCGCCAGTAACAGAGACAATGATGAGAACGAGAAAAAGAGAAAGTAACGATTTGATACTGAGTGTACCACTATGGTTCTACTGCGGGTGGTTGGTGGGTGTTATGGTGTGGTTTACTCCTTCTTTCCTATCAAACATGTATCATCCATATATCTCCTTCTTTTGTGTTTGTTACTTTCTGGTAACACCTCTAACCTTCGACACTTATATCATTATGACCTCAGTGTCTTCCAAGTGCCGTAAAACTCTTACTCAAACTAAAGGTTTCTACAAGCCCCCACCCCCGGCGTATGAATTTTTGGTGAAAGAGTACTTGAGCCCCCGTTCTTTAAACAAGTTAAAAGCATATTTCATCAAAGCAATCCATGCGTGCCCCCACAGAGAGTGGAGACACCAGATGTACATAGTAGGTCAAACAAGTTCCGAAAGGAAAGCTCAGGTAGACTTTTTCCTGATTTCGCAGTTTGAGTGAGGCAATTTTTTTTGTTCCAGTTACAATTTTACGGCACTTGAAACACAATAACATCATGTAAGTGCCGAAAATTAGAGATGTTACTAGAGTAACACAAAAAGATCAGTTGCACATTCAGACAGTCCTTTAATGCACAGTCCAGTAAAAACTCTGTATCAGTACACAGATGCTTTATAAGTTGTGTAAAACAAAATCATTTGCAAAAGTACAACATGCATCATATAATACATAAACAAAGTTACCATCTTTTGTACAAGGGGTTACAAAAGAAACAAAACATTTGGAGACCTTCAGATGAATCAAAACATCCTGCTCAGTTGACAAAATGTTTAATTTTAATAAAACATGGCATTGCTTTACAAAAATTCTCAAGACCATAATTTCGTACTCAGATCTTGGTGAATATGAAAATGATATGGAGGGAAGTCGAAGAATGTTTCCAAGAACATTCATAAGTTCACAGGATCGAAAATTAGGTTTGAGGTTTTACTAACACCCTTCAGGACATGTAGGTTAAATGTGACGCCAGGCAGACTTGACTTCCACCTCTGATGGGACCAAGACAAGTCGGCAGAGAACCTTAAAGCTCTTTCAAACAACTGGTAGAATTTCACACCAAGATTGTCTGCACAGTAATCCAAGTTAATACCAACAGTATATATCTGTGTCTACTGTCTTAAACAACACCTAACCACTGAGTCACTTGGATCTGACCATAATAAATATTTGGTAGAGAATTATAAAAGATTGCAAAACTGACATACCAATCAAACATTATGTGAACTTGAGCAGACATTCTGAATTACAGATAGATCTTTCGGTCACCAATTTTGTTGGTGTTTTTTTGGTAACACACTGTACAATATAGAAAACGCTGTGTTAGAAAGAGGGAAGCACACACTAAATCATTATGGAAACACTAAACACTAGAAGGTCATATAATCATTGCACTCACAGACAAATAGACAAGGCAGACAACTCTGTCATTTCATGTCATAACAGGTCAACCAACATGCGTCAGCCAGTGATGGACAGGTGAACTCAGCTCGCTTTCTTTATAACCAAAGAAAAAAAACTAAATAGATGTTTAAAAGCCCATTGCAACACATGTTACAGGAGCTGTCACACTGTCAAAAAGCTCTAATGGCCTGATGGCTACTTCAAACCTGCTATATGGCCCCAAAAAAAGAGTTTAGAAAACATCTATCTTCCAACTAATTCACTGCAATGTGTCAAAATCCTGAAAATTGCACAGCACACAACTAGGTCTTCCCTAGGAAAAAGATATGGTGTGCTCTTCGAACACAGTATTTCCTCAAAGTCTTCATGCAAGCACACTTTCAACTTTGATCTTTCTGTTCTTTTCATCTTGTCAACAATAAAAAGGATGCAAGCACTGCTGACAGTAAAATAGCGTGTGCAACATAGACTAAAGCATCAAATGCAACAGTAACAGGAACTAAAAAAGACATAGACAACAGGTAAAAGTACCTATGCTCTCCTGACGTCTTACCTGTGAGTGCGAGTGATGACCTCCATGGACACTCCTGATGCCCTCTGCCTGGAGAGTTGCATGTGTTTTCTCCACACCAGGCTTGTGACCCCGCAAAAGGTCTACAGCATGAGGGATACCGGCAGACACTAGCTGAAGGCACTCCTGGACAGGGCAGGAAAAGGATAAATAAGCTAACACTAAAACACATCGTCAAGGAAAGTCTGTTATATTTCCAACAATTTTTTGGCCAATAAAAACTGTTTACACTTTCAGGAACAAATAAAGCATGGCACCTTGGACTCCTCCAGCTAAAAATAATCAAACAGAATAAGAATAATGCCTACTGACACATACAGTGATTGTAATAATTCTTCGTCTTTCCATTTAACCTGCCATATTGATGCTAGGTACTTTTTGCCCCTAAACTTGATGCCAAGTAGTCTCCTTTTTCTGCATACCCCTGCTAGTGCTCAGAGAGTAACTAACTGTAAGATCTTCATCTCACAGTGAGGTTGATTTTATGTGCATGGCGTTTTTATAGATACAAAGACCATACAATCGTCCCTTGCCTGACAGGCAGCCTGGGGTCATTTTCTGAAGTACACTCAATATTCATATTAACTAGAGTAGCTTCAATTTTAGGTAGGAATAAATTCCAAATTTTCTCCAAATGATGTCCCAAGAGGCTTAGATCTACTCTTTTTGATTTTAAAACCCCCAAGGGATATTTAATTTGTAAAACTTCCATAATGGACATCCAACATTTCCCATCCTTATCCAAGAAAACCACGTGCTCGATTCTACCGGCCCTAGGATAAGGGGTTGTAAAAAGCAGGAGATAAATAACCTGACACTAGCAGAGTTTGATTCCTGATCTGTGGGCTTTAAGGGTGAATACCACATCCCTTCCCCCAATCCAAAACAAAAGTCAAGTAGCAAAATGTTCAAGTTTGTGTAGGTGTCTAATTATTTAATTATTGGGGTACAAGGCAAGTGGAAGACCAAAGAAGACCTGGATCGAAGGTGTGAAGGATACCCAGAAGACCCAGAAGACCCACAACTCAGCCAAGCCATCCAGCTTGCCAGAGGCTGAAAGCTCTCACTCCTCTCGACATCCAAGATGGAACAAGAGAAAGGATAAAGCAAAAGCGAAGTCTAATTATTCTCTTTATGGAGTTGGAAGTTCTCTGTGGGAATAGGAGAACAATTGAAGATCTGCAAGTATGTTAGTGTTTGAGCATCTGTACAGAGGTAGCTGGCAGTGAAGCTTCTCAGGCAGCTGAGAATGTCTTGGACCTGGGAGGGTCATCCAGGGTTATAATACATTGGAAACCTGCTTTAACAGCCACCTGTCAAAGACAATCACCTGTTCAAATGACCACTTCCCATTTGCATTTTTTTTTGGTACATTACAATAACACTGTCCAAGACACCCACCTAACTAAGACAAACATTTTTCTCCTTAACAATAGGACCCCTCTTAGACAATTCCAACTGTATATCATTGTAAGACGTATACAGCCTCCTTCAGAGGAAGGATAGTGCAAAATGAGAACAATCTATAGCCTCTTATCATCATCATTACTCACAGAAGATCCTTTTGTGCTGCCAGGGAGGTTGATAATGAGAGTGCATCCTCTGGTACCACAGACAGGCCTGGAACACATGAACAAAAACCAAAATATTAATAGCAATGCATTTATATGGCACATATCCAAGCTTTTTCTTTTTTCTTCCACATTAAAAATTTAATATTAAATTTGAGGTAATCATTTTTTATAAGACAATTTTGTCAAATTTGTTAAAAAATTAAAACAATGAAGATACACTAAACTTCTTTCACCTTTCTTTTTACACATGAAAGGAAGTATTCAATTTTATAGGTGTGACAGCAATACGCCATGAACAGTCACTGTGTACTATAACAAAGATTAAACACATTGATGTTAAACTACTACCAAAAGCCCTTCCATCTCATTAAAAGGTTACATTACAAAAAATAGAACTACCCTGCTATAAAATGTTAACTGCAGGTTCCTTTTAATTGATGAGTAGTTCACTGAAGATCACAGGTGGCTTTTTTAAAAGTGTTTTACGGCGCTCGTACTCATAACTGCATTAGGTCATATGAGCACCCAGGACACATTAAACATTTTCAGATCATTGGAAATTTCTAATTTTGCCTGGGTGGCGGCCGAAGCCTACCCTTATCGATTTTGGACCACCAAGGGATCTTTAACGTGCGCAACTTGCACACGGGACCTCCGAGATTTTTCGCTCTTCTCCGAGAAGGCTACATGTAGATCTTTCCTACCATAAGATTAGGGGTATGGCTGAAAGACAGCAGTAAGAAGGAGTCAAGGAGCAGCAGTAGAAAGGCTGCAGAAAGAACCAGGAGCCCAGAGGAGGGGGGAAAGGAGGAGTGGGGTGAGGGCAGAAAGTGGAGACGAAAGCAGACGACAGAACATTGCTAGAGCAGGAAAGGAGGTGAAAGGAGACAAACAGGTGACTCAACCCAATAAAGACATAAGTAAAATATTAAAAACCTACAATAAATAGTCAATGTTCCTTTACTCTTGAAAAAACGGTATAACATGAAATGGCAAAGGGGAAGCAATTAAGTTTCATGTCAAGAATTTACACAATCACTCCTTGTCTCCCTTGACTAAAGACAAAATAATATGTAATTAAAAAATGTACCTCTACTTTGAAAACCTGGTTTAAATGAAAAAGTACACAGATACAATTCAAATCTTGTGGAGTCGGTGGCCTAGTGGTTAGGCTCTCGGACTCGCAACCGTAAGGTCGTGGGTTCGAATCCCGTCAGGGGCCCGACGTTGTGTCCTTGGGAAAGGCACTTTACACGAATTTTCCTCACTTCACCCAGGTGGAAATGGGTACCCAGCTATAGACAGCGAAAGATCTTGTCAGTTTGTTAGTGTTTGAGCGCTTAATTAGCTGCTTGCACTGTATGCTTCCTGGGAAGCTGAGAATGTTTCGGAGTGTTCTATGGTCTGCTGGGGTAATAATATAGTGTAAAGCGCATAGAGCCTGCTGTTGAGCGGGGATATGCACTATACAAATGCTATTTATTATTATTATTATTATTAGTTTTGGGAGGTGGAAGAGGGAAGGGGGGGGCGGGTCGAAAGCCTTGATTTCATACCGAGACAGCATTGCAAGAGGCGTTATTTCCAGAGATCCTTTCAGCATGGCCACAATCATTCCAGGAGCTTCCTTCTCAATGACAGACTTGGTTGCCTGGACAAAAGTTAAAGAAATGTGCACTGGGTAAGAACAGTAACCTGACAGGTCTTTTTATAAATCCAGACAAATACACTCTCAGTCTAATGGAGATACAGTTTAGACAAAAACCAGCCCCAGTCCACAAGCAGGTAGGGCAGGATCACAGAATTCTACACTTATAGAACGGGAACTGTACCACGTGACCTGTGAGGAATTGAAGACCGAAAACAATGGCGTCGTGAGGGCACTATTTATCGTTTTCGGAAGTAACCCTATAGCTTTTAAAGCAAGAGCGGCTTTTACAAACGAGTGAAAAGTGGAACATTTACTGTCCAGTTTGTAATTTTGAGTTACAGAATTCACTGTGCAACTAGAGATTGGAATTAAGGTTTTAAATTGTTGTGTTTTGGAGTGCAACAACAGAAAAAGCAGACATACAGAGTTTATATAGATATATATAAGATCTACAGAACTAAAAAAAATTCATAGCACTTCTAGCTTCCCACACACATTTTGCATACGCATATGGCCTACGTAGTTTTTTAGTAGTAAAACTTATTACAATAAATTTGTTTTACACTGAACATATTTTTTCACTAGATCTTATTAATGTTCTCAAAACATGCGTTCAATAATTAACTTTATGTCGCCAGCAGAAGTAGAAAAAAGGATGGACTTGCTTTTAAAAGAGATTTAGCTCCAGCTATAAACTTTTTAAAAATCTGTAGAAACCATTGACTGGGATTTTTTTTTTATATATTGGGCTAGTATTTATTTAAGAATTTTCTTTAAAGAAATTTCTAGAATAATATAGAACCTATAGATGTGTACAAATGTTTGAAAAAAATACTCATCGGTTAAGACGAATTGATATAGATCTAAGTCATTGTGTAAAAGTAGGAGAATCTAGATCTAGGTGTTTGATAGTTCAGTAGCCTAGATATTTGATAATAAGTTGCGCATCAAATTTTTGACCGCATGCTACAGTAGTGAAGATAGCGTATTATTTTCATCCGAAACATTAATTTCCGCATCCATACACCTTTTTGAGCCTTTATAAGCACATGTAGTCCTACTTTAATTATGTTTTTGTTTTTGAAAGCATTTTCAATTCCTTTCACTTTCACTTCCCACGCGCGGCACATATAATTATGATTATAATTTAAGATTCCAAATCTGACGAATGTATTATTAAATAGTGTATAATGCTGAGTTAGCCAATGCATTGCAATGCGCACTATTATCAATTGATCGAATTGTAACAAGACTTCAATTTGATCCGTAACAAGAGACCACTTATTTTTTTATACGTGTTCATGAATGTGTGTTTGTTTACTGTGTGCGGGGATTAAAAATTAAAGATTAAAGATTCCAGATCTGACGAATGTATTTATAAAATAGCGTAATAGTGCTGGGTTAGCCGATGCCTTGCGATACTTGCTTTTATCAATTAATTGATTTGTAACAGGACTTCGATTTGATCCGTAACAAGACAACACTTATTTGTTCTTATACGTGTTTAAAAATGTGTGTTTGTTTACTGTGTGCGGGCATTATAGATTCCAGGTCTGACGAATGTATTTATTAAATAGCATATAGGCCTATAGGGCAGGGGTGTCCAACGCATTGCGATACGCACTTTTATCAATTGATCGAATTGTAACAAGACTTCAATTTGATCCGTAACAAGAGGCCACTTATTTTTTATACGTGTTCATGAATGTGTGTTTGTTTACTGTGTGCGGGGATTAAAAATTAAAGATTAAAGATTCCAGATCTGACGAATGTATTTATAAAATAGCGTAATAGTGCTGGGTTAGCCAATGCCTTGCGATACGCGCTTTTATCAATTAATTGAATTGTAACAGGACTTCGATTTGATCCGTAACAAGACAACACTTATTTTTTCTTATACGTGTTCAAAAATGTGTGTTTGTTTACTGTGTGCGGGCATTAAAGATTCCAGGTCTGACGAATGTATTTACTAAATAGCATATAGGCCTATAGGGCAGGGGTGTCCAACGCATTGCGATACGCACTTTTATCAATTAATCGAATTGAAACAGGACTTCAATTTGATCCGTAACAACAGACCACTTATTTTTTCTTGTTCGTGTTCCAAAATATGTGTTTGTTTACTGTGTGCGGGGATTACAGGGGGACAAGCCCATCCCCTCGACATGTGATCCAGAGTATGGGGATACATTTTTCTCAAAATGCACACAGCTCTGAAATCCTTGACCAGTGATCACTCGCCATGGAACTCTTTCTGTTGTGACTGTAGACACAAGTTTCTTCATTATCACATCTGAATGAGCCTCTCATTCATGCATTAGAAATCACACTCCCAACACACAGAAAATGACTTTGAACATATATTCAGGAAACATATGCCAGTTCCACTCTTGTTTACTTTGTTTTGCATTATTGGCTTTTATGTGTAAAACAATATTTAGAGGCCTTTTCTGCATTTTTGTGTTTTTGGCAGCATGTACAATAGGCCTATGTATTTTATGTGCAACCTTCACATTCTCCAATCGTAGATCTAGTACTAATCAAGACTATATCTAGATACTTTTCCAACAGAGTTAATGTTCATAATTAGTGTTATTATCAAGTGTATTGTGATTGTGAAGATCTTTAGTAGATCTAGATCTAGTAGTAGATCTAGAGATCTAGATCTATCTAGATCTAGATCCCATCCCATCCCATCCCATCATTAAAAAAACAACAACAAACCAACAATACAGATACAAACACATTGTAACATTGCCAATTATGACATATTGTTGGCAGTAAAAATGTACTAGACTATTTCACTATATTTCCTCTTCGAAGAAAGTTTTAAAATACTGATGTAACTTAATGTAAGGTGTCTTCCAAGCCCTACCACTAGCATCAGCGTGCATAGCAACGCGAAGCCTCGCTGTGCGGCGCAGCCAAAGGTGCCCTCAACTGGCCGCCATGTTTTAGTTTCAATTCCTCACAGCGAATCGGCGATCGCGAAGAGGGAGTTCCGCTTCTATAAGTGTAGAATTCTGTGGGCAGGATCAAAATCCTCACCACCCTGATGGTAACACTTTAAAAAAAACAATAGGGACACGCCCACAACAACACGTCTAGTTTGTTTGTTTTAGGCTTGTTTTAGTAAGAGTTTTACAGTACTTGCAACATAATTAGATCATATAAGTGCTGAAGATTGAGAGGTGTTACAAGAAAGTTGAGGCAAAATTATTCTTTTTCATGATCAGTTAGATATGTGTAACAATAAGACACATGTTGAAGTGATAAATGGTATTTAAAATAAAGCATTTTTTGGTCAACTATACACGATACCTCTGGGGTAACATCCCGAGGAGCAAAGCCAGTGCCACCAGTCGTCAGAATGAGATCCAACTTCAGGTGGTCACTCCAGTGCAGCAACTTGTTCTACAGGGTAAAGAAACACAGAAATTATCTTTAAAAACTTTCAGTTCTAAGCACTGGAATCCACCAAAAAAATTATTAAAATTGTCAAGGTCAGAAAGAGAGAATGCTTTTAAAAACTTGTAACAAAGACTTATTAATTCATAATTAGATGTCTTGTATTACATATTTAACAAATTATATTCAGGGAAATATCTAGCTACATACAAAAATTCAAGCACAGAATGAACAACTACTTCAAAGTAATTTTGAATCCTTACCTGGCTGTCAGCTCAAAATACACTGGTTTAAAAACATAATAAAAGTTAAGAAAACAGTGGATCACAAAATAAAAATACTAATACAATTCTGAATCTGAAGATCCATACAATAGCTGGTAGTTTGATTTTTATTTTTTTTACGGAGAATTACAAAAGTTAATATAGCAGGAAAAACATTGACAAATTTATTTGCATCTCAAAATCTGATTTCCTCTCCAAGTTAACCCTGCTTACCATAAATAACGTCCGTTGAATTAAAATTACTAAATGTGTCACTAAATGGCCAGGCAATTCTCACTCTTTCCTGTTGTCACAAATCAAAGACAGGGTTCAGGTACAGCCTAAACTTCTCGCCTTCTAAGGCACAGTCTAGGGTATCTTAGAGTCTATCCTTCTAGAATAAAGTTTATCTTTAACTAAATTTGATGAGATGAGAACCTTAAAACCTCTTCCTTCCAATAAGTTGCATATTTAAGAATGTATTGGAACCTGGATTGCCCACACCACAGTCAATAGTTTCCACTTCTATCTACAATCGTGTCCTTTTTGCAGTCACTTGTGTCTAGATACTTGCAGGTATACTGCAGAAAAAACTGTTCCCTGAACCTATGTACCAGAGAGACCAGTAACATTCTGTGCACCTATCACATGCCTCAGTGTACAGTGGTGTAAAATCTTTAGCATTTGATCAAAGAGAGTTCAGGTGCACTGGTTTTGTAGACCCAAAGGACTCGATCTCAAGCTCAAAGGGATAATCAAATCAAGTTAATATCTAATAACAACACATACCTTGATTTGTTCTTGTTCATCAGGGAGGATATCTTTTGTGATAACACGTCCATTGAACCTAAAATTTCAAGAAAGAAACTTGAGCATAAAAATTATATTATAAGCAATTTAGCATCAAGGACGTATATCAATTTGTGCATTACATGCTGTCTATTCATATAAAGAACCGCAATACCAGTAAGATACAAAAGAATATCATGCAACAATCAGATTTCTATAGTAGACTTTTTAAGATCTCTTTGATATCTAAGTTTCAGTTCTAAATGTAAGGATTTGAGCCTAATATATGAGGTTACCAAACAAACAAATTTAATAATAAAAATAATGATAATAATAATGGATAGCATTTGTATGCGCAAATTCCTGCTCAACAGCAAGCTCTATGAGCTTTACAATCTATATTATTATGAGCATTTTCACTATAATGATCTTCTCTGTCAGAGTACAGAAGAAATCTGAAAGTAACACACCCAAACAACCACTTCACGTAAAAAAAATAGGTTTCGACACAAGTTAAGCAAGTTGAAAAAAATCTTGTCTAACCCACAGAACCCAAATTTTTTTTTTTATAGTTTATTATGTGATTTCACTTAGTCACCTGATAAATAAAAACCCATAACAAAAACTCGACTTTACTCTTTAATCTTCCACGATTTTGTTCTCCCAGAAATATCTGATAACATTTTAGAGGGTGAGACTTTCAATATCACACTTTTACTAAGAAACAAAACACGACATTTAATTATATTTATTGTAAAATCTCTGAAGTGCCAGCACATGATCTAGCAATGATGCAGTGAAAATAAGTACAGTTCAAATTGTCCTCAGACAGGTGGACATCTTTGACAGGGTCATTACAATACTTTTAGAAAAAAAAGGGGTGGAGAAGTGGTCATGTGTACAGGTATATTTCCTTAGATAGGTGGCTGTTTGTATTGTTACTGTACTATTTATTGAGGCCCAAACTCTACAAACAGCTCTGAATATTATAACAACCAGTATGGCTTGTACTTTGATTAAACAGAAGCCCATCAGCTCGACAATGGCTATTTAGCGTACAGAAAATGTAAGACAGCCAGATTGAAATGAGAGAGAGAAAAAAAAATGGCTGAAAAGGACAAATATTTCCTGGTCCAAATAGTACCACATGTACCAAATCAAGATTCGATTATGAACAGACAAGAAAATTTAAACTGCACTCAACCATAATGGCTCAATGTGAATTCATAATAAAGCTGTATATATATCTTTTCATAAAAAGCTTACAATTTTCGTGACTCCACAACTTGCTTGAGATTTTCTCCACTTCGGTCTGTAGCAGTTCCATTAAAGCATGAGTCGCTTACTGAAAGGAAAAAGTTTTGAATTAAATAGGGAAAAAGTGGTTGAAGATGAGAGCACAAAATCAATAAACAATTATAATTATAACACTGAATAGCATTTGTATAATGAAAATTCAAGCTCAATGGCAAGCTCTTTTCATTTTAAAATGTTTTCTATGACCCCAGTAGACTCGATAGCATTACAAAACAATCTTAACTTCCTGAGAAGTATACAATGCAAGCTGCCATTTTACAGACCCTAAAACCTATGACAATAACAAGATTTTTTTCTGTCTAAGGCCATATACCCATTGTTCACATCTGCATGAAGTGCTAAACCGTAAACTAACCCCCGAACTCGCAATCTTGTGATTATGAGTAGGGTAGCTTATACATTCATTGTATCTTGTCAGACTTACTGGATTTCGCTCCATTCTACTTGTTCTTTTGAATTACTTTTTAAAGGCAAGACATACAAATTAATAACACAAGCAAATGGATTTTGTTTGCTATGATACCCAACTACCATTCTGCTCATAAATCAAGTTTCAAGAAAAAAGAAAAATCACAGAGATGACAACCTAAATCAAGACTTGTACCCAGTGCACAGTGCCAATCGAATTCAGTCAAACCGCAGCGCAAGCCACTAGAATTCCCTTCAACATGAAGGGGCAAAAGCTACCATCATTGTACACTTCAACCCAATTCGATGGTGAACTTCAAAAACAATGCTTTTGTTTTTCAAGGCCGCGAGTTGAAGGATCAAATGTGTGCAGTGTGTGAGCAGAATGCAGTAACGGACAAGGTATTATAGATCTGGAAAAGATGATACTGACAGATCTAGACGGCTATCGATATTTCCTCTGTTGGCTTCAAGATCCTCTCAACACAGCAACTATGATCATGTGACAGTCTGCACTTGAAGCCATTACGGACAAAAATGGCTGTATTGTGAACAGTAAGTCTTGGGTTCAATAACACTGGGCACAGGTCAGTTTTCTATTGCTTGTCAAATTGGACACAACAAGAGAAGTGTCTATCCATAGCGTGCACTGAGGCCACCATTAATCGATCCGACCAGTCCCAATCTACAATGGGCACCCAATAAGTATTGATACACTGCAGACTAGACGTTTTGAAACTGAAATAGCATACACTTTCTCCAGACCCATGATAAGTTTTATTTTGCCGAACCCCACATGCCCCTCCTGATCTCAAAACAGCCTTCCTTCGTGCTCTTGTCTCTATTAAAAAAAGTCTAGGCCTGCAGTTTTTAAGTTTAAAAAAGTTCTGCAATATCTGGTGTTGTCCATAAGAGTCTGTAATATCGATACAGACTTTTTAATATTTGATATTGATGTTTTATCTGAAAGAAGGCGAGAGATGTGCTTTCTGCTACTTTTCAGTACAAAATTAATTTCACTTGTTTTTAATAAGGGGGGATTTCAGGGGCATGCCCTGACCAAATAAAAATATATGCTGGGTTCAAAATTTTGTAATGAGAATGAAAACAAGCCAATATATCATTTTCTTTCGATTTCTATACTAGATCTAGATCTATATGTTTGCCATTCAGAGAAAATTCTCAAATGAGCTAGCACAATTTTGAACACTACTACTCTCTATAGACTTCTTTAATTATATAGGCTAGATCTAACATCTAGATCTAATCCGCAAAAAAACAAATATTAAAGCCTGTGGCTATGCGTTTACAAGGCCCTTCATGGCTATATGCGTACAGCCCTCCCTCCCATAAACATTATAGCGTCGTGGCTATGCGTACGGCCCTCCTAACGTACGGCCCTTGGATTTAGATAGAACTATGCTCACGGCCTTGATAATCGTTCAGCTGGACAGCGTCACTTTATCGGTTGATATCCTGGCCTGGCCGAGACAAAGATCGTGCATAACAAGATAGTTCACTCCTCTACAATTGAGCCAATTAAAAAAGGGTCCTCAATATTCGGTGGCGCCCTCTTCGAAAAAGTGCGTACTTTGCGATCAGAGTTACCCTAGTTGAGTGAAAATTTATAATAAAAGTGAAACTAACAAACTGTGCTATTCCTATTCTTCTTCTGAGATGGTGAAACAAAAGAGAGCTTCAAAACAAAGACTTCAGCGTCATCTCAACCAATGGGCGGATTTCCACGGACACCTTTTTGGCAGAGTGAACTATTTTGTTATGTACGATCTTTGGCCAAGAGACGCTCTACGAGGTCAAGATAACTTGCAAAGTCATTGGTCACTATTTATAACTTTGACCTGTAATCTACTACGTCATTTTAAGGAAAGCTGAAATTTTCCATTGAAAAAAGGTCAGCGTCTATGCCCTTTCTAGCTGCGCGTTTCCCAATCGAAGTAGGTCATCCCTATATATAGTGCTTGCGCGCTTCCCGGGTAGTCCTTTATAAAGGGCCTGCAAGTTTCCAGGGTTTACTTTTTAAAAGTTTGTCCACTTGTAGAGTCCGGTTTTATAGTTTACTAGCTACGACCCCTTTCGATGAAAGGAATGATTGGTGCTTTAGTATCAACAAAAAAAAGTCATTGGCCTACTATATTTACACTCTACTGGAATGGGGCAATAAATCTTGAGAGATGCAAAAAATTATAAGGTCTAGATCTAGATCTATACTCTCAAAACAAAATGCACCTTGCGAAATATCGCTTCCGGATTTTCTAAAATTACAGAGAAAGAAGCGTCGGCCTACAAAAGCGGTTGGCGAAATAAAGAAATTTAGCTTTTTGGAGCAAAACTGTCTCAAAACTGAAAAAACCAAGGGCGTCATGCACTGGAGAATATTTTTAAGAATTTTTTGGCGAAAACCGCATGTCGATCGATGCAGCCGTTAAAAAGCATTTTGAATAGCAAAATTCGGCCACCACAAATAGATAATAGATAATAGATAAATGTGCCGCCTACAAAGCCAAGCTTATTATGTGAAGTGGAGGGCTGCACACATAGCCTCGATGCTATGCGTACAGGAGGGCCGTACGAAAATCCACGAGGCTATGCCGGCGTACGCATAGCCACTTCGAAAATTAAATTATTAAATGCAATGATTGTCATTGCATTGAATGGGGCTATTGTCTAAGACTTTTAAAAAGAGGTTAATTAGGTGGCCAACTAGGCATTGCTCTAAAGACTAAAATCTTATGCCATGCAACATCAAAAACACCTAGAATCTAGATCTAGATTAGATCTAGGAGGCTTTCCGCATAACAAGTTTGTGATCATGCACAATGACATTGGCATTTCTGCGAAATCATGAAGGCTGACTGCTAGGCTAGAGATGTTTTGTTTGTTTAGTGGTGGACTGCCAAAAGGCATGAACACGATTGTTTAAAAAACTCTTACGAAATGAAAAAAGAAACGTGAAACATAACAAAAGTCATCTGATTATAAACTGTCCTGAAAATTGAGTTGCACTATCTAATCTTTGGAGCACACATAGAAAACTCACCTGTGAGAATCCCAACTTTTAGGTCGTGCTCAGAATCATGTTCAGCCATGTTGATGTTTTGTCGAAATTCTCACTCACTCCACCACAGCAGTTGAGCAGTCTAAAATTATAGCTGTGGAATCGCCAGCTGAATTGCGTCGTGCCTGGAGAAAGGTAGGCTAGGGTACTATGATGAAGTCTCACCAGGCCGTTTCGAGCAAGATAAACAGATTGATAATGACAAAAAATCACTTCTTTTGATCAAACTGTGTTACCATTTTTTTTTAAAGATATTCCACCATTTAATTTTAACAATTTAAAAAAGTTTTCACAGATTTGACTTCTAAATATTTTATGGCTGGTGTTCGCTGGACTGTTGACTGTTCGGGAAGCGTACGCGCTTCAATACGCTTCCACAGCACTATTTTTTTAAAAATATATATAGATCTAGTAGAGGGTTTTACGGCGCTCGCAACAGCGTGTTCCACAGCACTACGAAATTATTGACCCGTGTTTTTGTGACTTCGACACTCGTCGACAGTAGTGCGAAAGATGTTTCTATTGTCCCTTGGAGAGAGAGAGAGAGAGAGAGAGAGAGAGAGAG